GTTAAGTGGCCACATCTGAGTGCTGAGGGCCACTCTGGGAGACTTGCTAGAAGTGAAACTCTGTCCCTGATGCTCTGTCTGTCTGTCCATCAGCACAGACACCTTTTCCTTCCCGCTTCACACATTCTTTCAAGCAGCAACAGTAGGCTGCTGTCTTACTTTCTCACCCAGCATAACCAGTAAGGACCAGGAATGTCTGTGAAGGTGGATTAACCAGCTAATGACTGCTGGCACCTCGATGATGAGGGGAGCATTTTCACCTCACACCCTGGCACAGAGTATTTCCACAGTCCACCAGCTCTTTTTTTTTTCCCCCCACCATATTTGCTTTTCCTTTGCCAGACTAAAGTACTCCTTAAAATGCTCTGGAGGAATTCAACCTATACAGATCATTGTTCACCGACCCAGTTCACTTGTGGATTAAAGAAACCAAACTAATTGATTTAGAGACGACGTAAGGGATTCTGAGAGAACGTTCAGCCCATGTCTGAGATGTCACTTTAATCCTCACAGTTAATTCTTTAAGCATAGGAAGCCATTTAAATTTGTAATGCAGTTCTTACATAAAAAAACCATCTCCACAGGCCTGCTAATCACGGAACTATCTTGCAAATTGATCCTAATCTACAGCTGCTTGTGTCTGCACTCTTCCTGTGGAGAATATAAAATCATGCAGCCAATGGACCCGTGAGAGGGTCTGCAAGGGAACAGTGACCCTCATTTGGTTCATGCACATCTGCAGCAGGGAACCACTAAATACCACTCTCCCCACCAGTTTTTGCTCTTATATTTAAGAGTGACTTCCATTTTGGAGTTTTGTCTTTAGCTGTAAAAAAGCAGAATATTCTCAGCTCTCATTTCCAGTTTTGGAAGACTCAGAGACAATTCCCTCTGCCAGACACGCCACATTTTTAACCAGAGACATCCCTTCCATCTTCCCTGCATGGAAAGCTGCTAGCAAACCTGCCAGCCAACTGCAAACTCATTCCTAGTGTCCCAAACTCTGATAAAACTCATTACCTCCATCTACAGCAACACAATTACGTGAATCAGCAAGATTTGTTCATGGGATTACTTTTTGTTTGTTTGTTTTTGCAGGATCTCGGTGACCTGACTACACCCGACCTCTCCAGCAGGAGACTGAGCCTTTCCCTGTTTCCAAAATAATCATTCCTGTTCTCAGACCTCCTCCCCACCTTCTTCTTGTTCATCCTTCCAAAAAACCACCTTGCAGGACACACTCCTCTCCACAAATCTGGCCCCAACACGAGACACTTGGAAACCTTTGCAGGACACGGATGCCAGGACCCTGAGAGGTGACACACTGATACTTTCAACTGTCCCCAAAGGGTCAGATGCTCAGAATTTTCCAGATTAACCTGAAAATACTCAGAAGAGAGAAAGCTTAGTTAATTCCAAAAAAGCAAGTTCTGACTAGGCTAGAAAGCATTAATAATGTGAAATACTCTGAGAAGCTGCAGTGTAAGGTCCTTGCCAGGATATCTGCAGTCAGAGCTATCTACATAAAAATCCAAGGTCTGATTGTTTGGACATATTAAGGATAAGGAATGCAGGGTATGACCAGAGCAGACCTTGGTGTGCTCTTGGAACAGGCAACACCACCAGTGAAATTTCCTGGTGTCCACCACCAGCAGAAACTACTTCAAATTGCTTCTTACACTGCTTATTTTCAAACTGGGGTTTGGCCTCTCATGGATCATCTTCCATTGGCTGGTCCCTATTAAGGCTTTGCAGGAGCTGGAGGAGAATGGGATGAAAGCTGAGGACTCTGTGACAAGCACAATCCACGTGCTTCTGCTAAAGGGATGGAGACAGAAACGTTCACCTTGACCTGCAACACACCACACATCAGAACTCCCACTATATTTAAATACATGGCTTCACTCCCAAGAGCCTTCCTGTCAAATTATCCTCTCATTTGGGAACAAGCCACAGCAGTTTAAACTCAGCTCTTCCCATTGTGCAAGTGCTTTGAAACAACAGGGACGTCTCCCACCTCTGCAAGCCCCTGGAACAGGGAACAGCTGAGCCTAGAAATTCCAAGGATTGCTTTGGAAAGAAGCAATTCATGGACCAGAGAGCTGAGAAACTGTATTTCTCAAATGGAAGATTTTTTTTTTTTTTTAGTTTTTAACATGAAGAAAACCACAGTTATGAGACTTCACCGGGTGGAACACGATTCCTTCAGAGCAGGGTGTGATGGCCCAGGAAAAAGGGGAGACCAGGACAGGTGCAGATCCCAAAGGGAGGATGGGAAGAACAGAGAGACAGAAATTTATAAAAATTTATAAAAGAAGCTTCTCTGAGCTCTTACAATATCATTCAATACTTTGCTCTTCTAAACAGAAGATTCGTAAGATAATCACACTGATGTCAGACCCAGGCATGCAATGCTTGGGCAGCTGTTTTATCTTAACCTTTTCCATTCACCTTCCTGCCCAAGAAAACTTCCAACACAGGCTGGAGACTGGGAAAAGGGAAGGTACTGCTCCTGCAGCATCCCTGGGCTGGAATCAGCATATCCAAAACCAGGGATTACTTTTCCCAGATTCCCTGTGGTGCTGCCATCACTCAGTAAGAAGTCTGGCATTTCCCTCCACCATTACAACCCTCTAAGCCAGTCACCCCAAGCTTCAGGGCTTCTATTTTTATTATAACCACATTAAAAAAATAAATTAAAAATTATTTTAAAAAAATAAAACAAAAAAAAGCCACTGCCCAAAAAAACAACCCTCAGAGCTGCTCTGCTACATCACTTATATCAACACGGAAAAGTAGCTAAACTGCTCTGTATCTGTTTTCCTCCCTCAGCTCTCACCCATTCCCAGACAGCAGGTTCCAGTCCACAGGTTGGGAACACTCTCCCCTCTGTAATAACATGTGGGAGATGTTTTAGAAACTCTTTACCGTGAAACAACAAACACCAGAAATGTGTTTTTCCTCTGGAAGCGAAGTTATACAGAAACAGACTTTATCTCAGCAGGTTCCTCTGATTTTCAATTCCTGAGATTTTCAAGCACGTTTCTAGGAGTTCCTACTTAAACACCCAGCAACATTCTGGGGGACTTTGGGTGGAGAAAAACTACTGCAAACTGTTCCATAAATTAAACAAAAATACCCTGGTTATGGATGCCAGCAATTTTTCATACAAGGAATGTGATATGCCAATCAAAATGAACATTTAGATATGACATGCTGCCCCACTACATCCCACTCCTGCCCCTCAGCTCTGTAGAGCTCCTTGTTCCCACTGCAGCATTCCCAGTGCATTCCACTGTGAGGGGAAAGGCTGCCTGTGAGCAGTTTATACAGATGCTTTGTTCATCCCAAAATATTTAAGCTCCAAGAAACATTAGAGCAAGACACAGATTTCAGCATTTGCACAGCAAAGAACTGCAACTCCTACAGATACTGCCAGAAACTTTCTTCCTTAAGGTCCCCCAGCCAGAAAGGAGTATTTTGCTAAAGCAAAGCTACAGACAAAAAGCAAAGTGTGCTCTCTTAGTGATGGGCTGCAAAGGGTTGTTGCAGCAACGCTGAAGGAGGCAAAGTGTCCTTTCCCTCCTGCTCACTTTGTTCAGAGCAGATCATGGATTATTCAGGAGGGATACCCCAAACTTATGGGGTCATCCCCAGGTAAGCAGGCTCGGGAAAACTCCTGTGAAAGGGAATTTCCCTGTCCCACAACTCCCCTGGCAGCAGGGAAACGCAGCCAGCAGATCCCCTGCTCTGCTGGAGTCCTGCAACAGTCACACCCACCTTAAAACACAACTGTGCCCCAAGCACTTGTTGGTTAAGACAAGAGGAATTATCCACGGCCAAACAATCACTGTTCAGCACATCCCAGTCATCCCAGGGGTGCAGAACTGGAAGACAGGAATATTAAGACTGTTTTTGCTTAAAAGTGGCAAAGCAGCAGCTCCTTTTCCAGCTCATTTTCCTTCTCATTTGAAGACAGTGCTGCAGACATGATCCCTGTTTGAGGAGAGTAAATTAAACATGCTGGACCCTCTTCTTAAGGCCAGGATACTGAGCTTGAGGAATTTTTTTGGAGGGGGTGGAGACAGTTATCTAGTTATCTCCCACTCTACTGGTTCTGTAGCAGTTATCAATTAGTGCATCTTCCTGTCCTGTCTCCTTATCTATCTCTGCAGGCTCAGCATGCCAGAGCTCCAGGTCCATGCTTTTCCTGGGATATGGTTTCGTTGTTATCTCCCTGCCAGGAAATTCCCAACCAGAAGCTGGTTCTGCACCAGTTCCTCACTTCCATGAACTGCCTAATTAACCAAGGGACTTATCTCAAACTACACTGGGAAAGTAGAATTAACCAAATACAAAGAGAAAAAAGCCACAGAGACCTTCACTTACTCCTGCTGCCTTCCAGGATGGAATGTGTCTGGTGTGGTCAGAGACAAACAGAGCTGCAAGTAGTGAAACCCAGACAATCCAATACACCAAGAAAACTCCAAAGAAAGTAAAGTTGGAATAAACTTTGGTCAACTCCCTGCTTACCCTCCATGAAGGTAAATTCAGCCCTACAAGACTGTTTTTCAAGCCCAGTCTTGTGCAACACCCAAATATAAGATAACTAGGTGAGGCTCAAGAGTTTAAACAAAAGTAAGTAAACCTATCACAGGTCCCTGATGAGAGCCATGAAATAATGAGAAATAACCCCAACTTGGATGTGAGAACACAGATAACTTCAGTTCTTGCTTTAAAAAGCCAAAAAGTGCATTATTGCTCAGTATGGAAGAAGTGGCAGATCAAGATGGGACCAAGGAGGGATTGTTGGGGTGTCCTGTGCAAGGCCAGGAGTTGGACTCACAACCTGTGGCTCCCTTCAACTCGGGATATTCCAAGATTTTAAACCAAACAGACTTCATTTTCCCATTTTTTCTTACCCCAGGGAGGAAGGCAGTTACACCAGGCATATTAAATGTCTAATTGTGCCTAAATGCAACCCACAAACCCACCTGCAGCACTTCCTGAGGCACCAGCTACAAAAGCAGCAAGTCACACAAGCTTTGCAAGTCTCAGACTAAGGGAAATTAAAAAAATATATATATAAATAAATAAATAATAAAAAAAGGCAGCCTTGTCACTCAGCACCTCCTGACAAATGAGGTCTGTCTGTCTTTCCCCAAAGACACACAGCACAAGCAGCACCAGAGCTGGAAAGAACTTAAAGCCCCAGAGATTTCAGTCTTGGCTGCCCAGTCAGTGCAAAGAGCAAGAGGCAAAGTTGCCTTGTACCCTTGGATTGACATGTCAATACTAAAGCAGACAAAGAGGTTGCAACACAAAAGTGACTTTCACCCTCCCTGGCCTGGGGGATTCTTCTCCAGTACAGTGACACAGCCATCCCAGTTATCCCAGAGGTCATGGGTCTGCCACGGACAGACCAAACCACCACTGCCAGTGCTCTTCCAGTGGTTTGAACTGGTGACAGAACAGCTCCTGGCCACCTCACCAGAGACCTCGTCAAGTACTGCAGAAGAGGGCAGCACAGAAAATAAACCTATTCACTTCCAGATTTACAAGGGTTATCCTCACCTCAGTGAAACTGTAACAACATTTTGCCTCCTTCAAATTAGTCAAATTCAAATACCTTTTTTTTTTTTTTAATTTGGGGTCTGGTTTAACACTAGGCCAGAGAGCAGGGGAGCTCAGTCTCAGCTGGGTGATGACAGCCTGCATCACTCAGGGTTTCACTGACCAGCAGAAATCCTCTCAGCACAGGGCAAGCACACAGTAATGACACATGACATCACTTGTGCTATCTCGTTTCCCACTCCTCTGCACAGCACAGCTTATTTTTAGATTATAACTTCTGATGCAGGAGGGAAACAAAAGATGGGCCACAGGCACAACAGCTGCAAGCTCAGTCAGAAACATTGAGGAGGAGACATTTCCACTCCATGTTTCGTTACAATAGCTACACCTTCACCTCACATTCAGCACTTCTGGAGTCACAGCAGCAAGATTTTTACTGGCACCTTCACAGGTGGTTTCCCCACAGTCACAAGCTGCTTACAAAGAGCCTGTCACCATCCCAAAAACTGCCTCCCAAAGGGAAGGTTCAGGTTGGACATCAGGAGGAATTTCTTCATGGAAAGGATGATCAAATATTGGCAGGGGCTGCCCAGGGAGGTTTGGAGTCCCCAGCCCTGGAGGTGTCCAAGGACTGGCCGTGGCACTCAGTGGACAAGGTGGGCATTGGGCACAGGGGGGACTCAAGGATCTCAGAAGTCTTTTCCAACCTAAATGATTCTGAGATCCTTGTGAACCAGAGCAAACACTGCTTTTTTGCCTCTTGTTTCATAGGGAAAAACAGGATTGAAGGAGCTGGGTCAGGTACAGAGGAGGAATTTCGAGCAGGTGACTCTTGAGTGGTGTGAGAATCTAGAAGTTAGTGAAGCTCTTTTGTAAGTTCCTTCCTCCCTTCTTTCATAGCGAGGCCTTTTATTTTTTTAGCATATCAAGCACATCTCACAAACCTCTCACAGCCACTCAAAGGCAGGGTTTAAGTGGAGCTGAAGTGAGGCAGCGTATCCATCAGCTATTTCCCTGAAATTTCAGCTCTTACACTGGAATTGTCTTACATCTTGCTTTTTGCTCATTCTGTCAGCGCCACAGCCATCCATGGGAAGCAGGAGGAAGGCAGATGAGCTCACCAGAGCAGCACAACCAGGTAATGGCCCAGTAATTCAATCTACACTTGCCCTCTGGGAGTATTGGATTCCAAGCTGGGTCTGCTCAGGAGCTTCGTGACCCGGCTGAGGTGCAGCCTGCTCCCAAATTCCACAAACCAGGCACCTATTCCTTGGGTCTCCAGAGGCCAGGCAGGCAGAGGCTCTGCTCTCAGTGTGCTGGGAGTGGTTTATTCCCTGGCAGCTGTAAAACACAGCAATTCAGCAGCAAAGCCCCATCAATACACCCCAAAGTCGCTGCTGTCACCTGCCCCACACCCCAAATTCAGCAGGACTGTTCTGCTCCTGCAACACTGACTTGAGCCTCCCGGGAGAAGAGACTCTTCCAGCCACTGCAACTAAAGAATAAATGAGACACTCGCACAGAAATGCACTGAGGGCAAAGAATTCAAGCTGGATTCGCACCTGACTAATTGGCTGCAAGTAAAAGTAGAGTTACAAGATGTACCTGTGTGAATCACGGTGTTTAACTAGGATAGAAAACAACATAAAAGTGGCTAATGGGCAGCAGCTGCTCTGTATTAAACATCAATACGTGCCTAGTGTGATGCAAATTATCTTCAAATCTCAGGAAGATATTTTAAATGGGCTTAACACACCAACAAGGGGCAGATGACTTGCTAAGTGCAGGGGGGAGTTGAGGGTCATCTCTGTTGGAGAGCAGCACGATGTGTCCATAAATAAACTAACTCAAGTTCCCCTGCAACACAAAAAACAAGGACAGCTGAGCCCTAAGGAAGCAAAACAAAATTAAATAAACGGAAACTTCCAGCTACAAAAGTTATTTCAACTCTCAAAGGTTCCCATAGTTCACAGAAGAAATTGTTCCACGTACTTAAACTTTTCTACCTCTTGTCTTGGCCTAAAACTCATCAACTTCTTGGGAAAGGAATTTAACTTAGAAAAGGAATTTTCTGGACCACACACCCTTGCAAGGCTACAATAATTGCTTTTTAATCTTGTTTCTTCTGGGCATTGCTGCAACAACCGTCCTAACAAACCACAGGGGATGGTCACCTCCCAGTTTGGGGAAACGATAGTGGGTATTCATTTGGAAATTCCATGTAAAAAAAAAGATAACCTTCCAGAGTTTGCTTTTGAGAGTGCTCTGTTGGCTAAGCCTGTGCCTTAGGACCAAAGCCCTTCAGGACAGCAAAGCTGGCAAGGGCAGCCGGGAGAGGCACTTTTAGGCTCCCTGCAGAGCCTCAGCTATCCCACAGCAGCAACAGCTCAATACCCAGAACTGCCACCAACCCACCTAACGAATACACACTTCCAGGTTAAATAAATTCACATTCTGATGAACTCTGACCACACAAGAGCTGCAACAGCCCTTCCACTGCACAAGCCGAGGCTGGGGAAGGCACTTGGGCTCTTTTGGATGAAGAGCTGCCACATCCTAATCTTGCCATCACCATTCCTTTCAAACCCTCTGGCCCTAAAGCCACAAGTGTGACCGACTTAGTTTTGACCTGCACGAGCAGCTCATGCTCCTCCATCAGCCCTCAGAGTCTCCCCATTCCTGCTACATCATCCCAGTGCTCTAAGCACTTTGTTTGGATGAGTTTGGCAGTGGGGTCAGAATTCCAGCAGGAGCCGCCTTCCCCTTTTCCTTCTCACACTTTCTGTGGCAAATTTTAATGCCACACCCCATTACCAACTTGTGGTTTTTGAAAGACACGAGTTCCTGCAAGAAACCAAAATGCAGGATTGGAGGGCGAGGGGGGAATTCCCTGGGATGCTCCTGTTAGAAACGCTGGGATGGGAGTCTGAAAGCTGCACCCGGATAGATGTGAGGGATTGGTCATCTCTTCCAAACAAGCTTGTGAACAAGGAACACACCACTGGCTTTTGCACTGCTCCCCTTCCTGAGAGGCCACCTCCTGTAACGCATCCGTTACTCAAGTTTTCCGTTCGCTTTTTAAACGCCAAACAGCCTCTTCCAGCTCCAACAGCTCATCAGATGATTTATGAACGGCGCAAAAAAAACCCCCACTCAATTGGCAGGAAAGAGAAAAACTGAGCTCCACCGATGTATTTGCAAATCTGACCTGAACAAAGCAACATATGTTCTCTACAGAGTAACAGAAAATAGGGAGGAAAACTGAGCTAAACCTTCCGTAAAAAAGCAATAGTGCTGCTGGAGCTGCAGAGAAATCCCGTGCTCAGGAGCAAGGAGTCACTGTCAGCAGAAAGGACCTTCTCCAAATGCACAAAGACCCCACTGTATCTTGTTCAAAAGGGATAACAGGAACATAACACCAAAACGAGCAATGGTACCTAAAAACACCAGAACGGTGACAATAAACAAACCCATGTGAAATTGGCTGTTTATGCCCATTTCTGTTGAACAGCAGAACAATGCAGAAGTCCTGCTTTATACAGGATTTGGGTTTGGAGTTGCCTGCTTTCAGTTCCCAATGTAAGCACGGAATTTAAGCCCCCAGGTCCTCAGAAATATCCCCGGTGGTGCATATCCCCCTTCTCAACAGATAAGATTTTTGCTGCGGATTTAAAAAGCTTGTTTTCAGACCTGGCAAAAACCTGGTTTGTGGATTCACCTCCCTCAAGCCGCAGGCTCCAAAACTGGACACACCTCGGAGTCAGGAGCAGGAATTCATCCCTCCAACAGCCATCTGCAAAGTCACGGAGCTGGCCAAGCAGCTGATGATTCCCTTTAATTGCTGGGATGGGACCACCCCCTCGGCAGGGAGGGAGGGGCGGCAGGAATTGCAGCCAGCTGTGCCTGCCCTGCCCTGCCCTGCCCTGCCCTCGGGGGAGGCTCATCCCAGACCCCAGCTCCGGGCACACGTGTGCTGGGGAAAGCAGAGCTGGACACTGTGATCCCAGAGGCACTTCTGGATGAGAAGGTGCAGGCTGATGTCCTGCAGAGTGGGCACACGTGTGACCTGGGTGGCACCACAACTGGGATGCCTCCACTTCTAGTTTTAGGCTGGCTCCTTGCAGCCAGCTGGGTGAAAATCCACACACATACCCCGGCAGCAACAGGATGAGGATGCTGGACTCAGCACTGGTGAGGCCACCCTGGAGTGCTGTGTCCAGTTCTGGCCCCTCAGCTCAGGAAGGATACTGAGGTCCTGGAGCAGGTCCAGAGAAGAGAACAAGGCTGGGGAAGGGACTGGAGCACAAGTCCTATGAAGAGAGGCTGAGGGAGCTGGGGGGGCTCAGCCTGGAGAAGAGGAGGCTCAGGGGAGACCTCCTCACTCTCTGCAACTCCCTGACAGGAGGGGGGAGCCGGGGGGGGTTGGTCTCTTTTCCCAGGCAACTCTCAGCAAGACAAGAGGGCTCAGAGATGTTTAGGTTGGACATTAGAAAGAATCTCTTTG